CTTATCCCTGACTATTCATGCCTTATCCCTGCCTTATCCCTGACTATCCCCACCTTATCCCTGACTATCCCCGCCTTATCCCTCACTTATCCCTGCCTTATCCCTGACTATCCCTGACTATCCGTCCCTTATCCCTGACTATCCGTCCCTTATCCCTGACTATCCGTCCCTTATCCCTGACTTATCCGTCCCTTATCCCTGACAATCCCTGCCTTCTAGTTGCATATCGCTATTGATGAAAGCATCTGCTAAGTAAATAAAAATGTAAATGTCTTTTCTGGGTCTGGAATGGAATTAAAAATTCAAAGTAGTCTGTACATTTGCAGGTTCAAGCCCAACCAGAGGCCTGTACTACGAAGCGGGGTTACCGGCTTACCAAGGTAACTTGTCGGATTTAAGGTAGTCTGGGCAAAATGTAAGTGAACGAATATGAAGTCCATTTAAACTCTGGTACCTTAAATCCTGATAAGCCAGTAACCCCGCTTTGTAGTACAGGCCACAGGTATCCTGCACTTGTGTTCTTGTGCAGTTGGGCTCTTAATTGCAATAGAACCAGGAATCCTTTATGTAATGATTAGTACCAGCCCTGACTAAAATAGGCACGTTAGAGCCTTTCTGGCTGGAAAACTGCAATTCTAACGACGCGAGTTCCTTCTTTGGTTCAGATTAGACATCGTTAATGCTCACTCCATTTCACAGTGAAAAAGAGAAACTCTGATGCTTGGATTAACAATTGGCTCACAGTATCTTTGAGAATAATGTATTTTGGGTATTTTGCTTGGTATCCAAAGCAGTATCGGCCAAACCCAAGCAGCCGTTCGTCTGTTTATAATCATTTATTCCGGCGCATAGAGATCAGTGGAGATGCGAGACTTTCTTGTCACTGTAAACAATGTGCTCGTTCTGCATTAGAATTGCTGCATGGCATGGTGGAGCCAGGCTAGTGGATTAAACACTGTTTAAATCTGGATTTATTGGCCAAGCAGAGTGGGTCCCTTACCCAGTGCCTGCTCTGGGCTGTGACAGTAACGTCAACATGACTGTAACTGTGGATCAGGAGAGATTAGAGCCTCCTGTGAGAGAAGATATTTAATTGTTCAACAGATGTTGACGTCCTGCAGTTGCAGAGAGTCATAAATGCATCTGCCTTAGTGTATTGGGATGGGTTCGTGGGAGTGGTTTTAATTCATCTGGGACATGCTGGTGCTTGTTTTTAACGGGTTTTCTTTAATTCAGGTTGAAGTGACTCTGTAAGGCTGCATTTGCAAGTCTGGGTGCTGCTCTCCTGTGGCGTGTGCAGTTTTTACTCTGGATGCTCATGTTTTCAGCACTTAGGGTGAATCCTTTCCTCTTACTTGTTCGTAACAATCATAATGAACATAGCTGAATCAACCTGGTTTCAGGGAAGTTCGTCCTTAGGGGGTTTTCGAAGCTGTTTTAAGATGCAGCAGTCACAGGGTTTTCCTCTAGCTTAACCAGCTCATGACTGGGGCTTACCGCTGCCAAAAAGGATTTTTAATTCAGAATCTTTATGCCCTTGCTAACATTAGAAAACTAAGGTCTATAGACTGTAAAGAACAAACGCTTTATTCCAGGGTGACAATTTTGGGTACGACTGTAGTGTTCTCTGCAGAAACAGGGCTGTGGGTTTTACCAAACTATGAATTTACTATTTTCTGAAAAACACAGTTTCAAAAAGAAAGTATAATTTGGGTGAAACATTCTTCCATACCACATTCATCAACCATGCAGTGACGTGAATGACACCTTTTAGAGTAATCATATATTTAACTAGGGCCAGATGGATCTTTGGAGGTGGGGTCTGGCTCGTGGTTATTCGTAT